AGTCCCTTATCAGATATATCATTTGCAAAAAGTTTCCCCCATTCTTTGGGTTATTTTTCCATTTTCATTCTTTTTTGAGACATGGTTTCACTTTATAGTCCAGACTGAAATTCTGCATGGGGTTTTGAGGGCTGGCGCCAGCCAAGGCTAACAGTTCACCTGTGCTTTTTTGATGTTCTTTACTACGTAGAAGTTTGATGTGGTCTAGTTTTGGGGGTTTTTTCCTTTTTCTTTTGTTGTATGTGACTCACTTTTTGTTCTTTGTTTTCTGTGGGGCTGGAGGACCAAACTCATGGGCCTTGTACAAGCTTAGCAAGCAGTCTATCACACTTTGAAGAAATCTTACCAAAATCCGACTTGAACTCACAGGGCAGGCACTGAGATTTCAGGGTGTGGTAGAGTTTTGTGGGTCCTCTTTGAAGAGTATTTCTTCCATGTTTGGTGAGGTATTCCTCTATTGCAGCAAGCCACAGCTCTTCAGAGCCAGGGAACAGAGCCCCTGGGGATCTTCTCTGTGTTTACATCCCTTCCCTCTGCTGAGGTCTACCACAATAGAGCAGCTGAAATGACAGTTTGGAGATGTCCTTTATTGTGAAAACTCAATGGCCTTTGTCTCTGGGATTTCAAATTTTCATGCAAGTGTTGGCAGCAAGGGTCAGGAAGGAGGAGGGGATGAGGCGAGAGAAACCCTGCACTGATTTCCCTGGTGAGTCATCTTGACTCCCAGTTGTTTTGATTTTCTCACCCATAAAATAGGGAGAACACCTCCATTCCCCCATCCCAGTGAGGTGCTGTGGGGTTGAATTAATTTGTATTTGTTAGTAGACTTTGAGATCTTAGATTAAAGGCATTACTGAGACTCAAGGTATTATTATAATAATAAATGATTTAAGAGCAGGGTGAGGCTGCTGAAGCAAGGGTTGATAGGAAGGTAGAGCCTCAAAGCTGTAAAGGGGTTGCAGCTTGAGACCCTACCCTCGACATCTACTCTTCTTCTCTGAGGTGTTAAACTAGGATTCCTCATAAGCCCTGGGCTGTTTCATCTGGCTTCAGCATAGCTATATATGCTTCCTCCATGAGTTTTCCATACTGAGATTGCAATCTTTTCAGGAAATAGGCATATAAATTAAAACAATTAGAAATAATGTAAGGTCTGGAGAGATGGCTTGCTAAGCAGTTAAGAGCACAGGCTCTTTTTGCAGAGAAGACTGGGGTTCAGATCCCAGCACCCACATGGCAGCTAACAACTGTCCATAATTCCAGTTCTAGGGGCTCTGATGCCCTCTTCTGACCTCCGCAGGCATTACACAACACGGGTGCACTTCCATGCATGCAGGTGATACACACATACACATAAAATAAAAGTAATAAATAAAATATTTTTTAAAAAGTAGAGTTCTCTCTCCGTTCTCTCAGGTTTACCACCCATCAGCTCTTATGTCATTTCCTCAGTTTCTCCTTCTGTAACAGCAATTGTTCTTGTAAAGTTGTTAGAGTAATGGGTAACACAGTAAACACTCCAGTGTTGGACCCATCAGGCTGTCATACTGTGCTTTGGCTGATATGTGACCTTGGCCAAGCTGCTCTACCCTCAGAGCCTCAGTATTCTTTCTGCAAAATGGGAGTAAGGGTACTCCTACCTTTCCGTGTTTATAAAGTGAAGCATGCTTTGTAAGCAGTGGCTAAATGATGGCTGCTTACTGTCATCAGCATTGTTTTGTTTTTTTTTACCCTTCCCTGGCTCAGGCATGAGCGGTGCCTTAAACAAGTGGTTTAAATCAAGGGAATTCTTTGGAAGCTGGAGTTTGAGGTAAGTAGGAAAAGACTGGAAAGATACATATCAGAGAAGAAAGCAGAGGCCCAGGAAAGGAGAAGGCCGGAAATACTGGGGTTTCTCACTTTTCCATGCTCCTGGGGCGGAAGTTTTATCTCCCTCGCCCCCTTTTGCCCTCTCAGCTCACACCTGTGCAGCCTGCAAGCCAGCGACTCTACAGGCCTAGAACACACCCTCCCTCCTAAGGAATGCCGCAGTCAGAAGCAAGGACGCCGGGTAGACTTCTCTCTACCCTCGCCCAGGATCCTGTTTCAAAGTCACCTGAAAGCCATTTCCTCTTGCTCTCCGCCCCTCCCCATAAATCACCAGGAGCCTGCTTTTCCCTGGAGCAGCAGCACTTTTGCTTTTTGAGTGTAGTGGTGGAGGGGGATTTTGTTAGCCATTCACACTGGTCTACACCAGCGGTACTGACGCCAGTGTTCCATTTCTGTTCCAGCACTTTGGAGGTTGAAGCAGGAGGGTCATCTCGACTTCGAGGCTAGCCTGGGCAACAAAAGGTGGCCCTGTCTCAAAATGCGTTAAAAAATAAACAAAACAACGGCAATAAACCAGGCGTGGTGGTGCACGCCTGTAAACCCAGGACTGGAGACGTGAAGGTAACGTAACTTCAAGGACACTGAAATCCTATTTCAACACAAACGAGAGAGAGAGAGAGAGAGAGAGAGAGAGAGAGAGAGAGAGAGAGAGGTTGGCAGGGGTTGGGATGAGGTGTGTCCCAGAGCACTGGCTGCTCTTACAGAGAAGCTGGGTTTGGTTCTCAGCACCCACATGGCAACTAATAAGCATCTGTAATTCCAGGGGATCCAATACCTTCTTCTGGCCTCCTTGGGTGAGATTGATTTAAGCTCTGGTTCAAAACCCAGCTCGTCTATATTTAACATTCCTGACCCACCCTCACTCCTTCCCGTTTTCCAGTGCTCGCCCTTCCCTGCGTTGAAGATCACACACAGGTCCCTCGGTCTTGTCTTTCCCACTCTCAGTCCGCCCCGCTCCCGCCCCAAGTTATGAGCTTTATTGCTTTCCCGTCTGGCTTCTCAGAAGGTAGGATTTTACAACTGCAAAGGGTCACTGAGACCTAGTTTCGGTGAAGAATTCCTGACGTGCCTTTCTGACTCAGCGGCAGAGCCGATCTGTTCGGATAGGACCAGGACCACCAGGACCATCAAGCAGTGGCTAATCCTGGGTTCCCCCAGTCAACACAGTTGGGATGATGTGGCTGCCGTCTCGGCGTGATAGCGGCAGGTTTACCCCACCGTATGCGTCTCGGAGCCTTAGAGCTCTAGCTGCACCGGAGGCGACACACACCGCGGGCGTTAATCATTAGCCACGCGGCCGCAGCCTCCAGCCCCGGCCCCTGCGCACTGCTAGCAGTTCGCAGGGCCGGGAAGGTTCCCCGGGCCCCCGCAGAGCCTCCGATTGCAGGATCCCAGCCTTTAGCGCCAGTCTCCACCCACTGGGAACATTCCTGGTCCGCCCCTCCCGCTCTGTCCCTCCCGCCGCAGCTCGGGCTCCGCTGGCCGAGACTTCCTGCCAGGCGCTGGGGGAGTCGCGCGTGGACGAGGGGTCCCCGGGGTCCCGCATCGCAGCGGGGGGCGGCAAGGACGGCGGAGCGGCTGGCGGAGGGCGGGAGCAGCCGGCACCCCCGGCCCCTTCCGAGAGCGACTTTCAAACTCGGCGCCCGAGTCGCGCCGCCACCTGGGCAGCTCCGCGCACCGTGCACGTCGGGAGCCGGCGGGACGGCCATCGCTCGGTGAGTGTCCCCCGTGTCACCCCTCTCCCCTTGCTCTGTGTCGAAGTCGCACTGCCTAGAGTCGCGCTGGGGGACCAGTCCAGCTAGCCCTCGGTGGGATGAGGTCCTGGGCTACCGAGGAAGGGCCCCCGGCTGCGCTGGACCCACCCAGCGGATGGTTAGAGCGCGGGAAGGGTGTGAGGGGAGACACTTTTTTGTCTCCACCCCGGAAACCAAGGGAGCGAATACTGGCGGTGGCTTCGGAGACGCTCAGTTTGAAATCCGGGAAGCCCTGGAGGCTGCGCCACCCTCTCCCCTCGCGGGCACTGGCGCCCCGGGGAGCTGGTCCTTGCCTGGGGACTGCGGGCCCTCTGGGGAACGACTGGAGCCTCTGGCCCAGAGAACCCAGAAACACGCAGGCATTCAGCCTGTTCCGGGTTGGTGCCACACGGTGCTAGGTCTTGGGAACCTCAGCTGCCTGTCCAGAGTGAGTGCCAGAAACCGAGTGTGGAAGGAGCTGAAAACCTAGAATCCTTCTCTGGCTGCCCCCAACTGCCTCGTCCTCCCACCCTTTCCACTGGTTTGGTTATTTGCACCCCATTCCAGGTTAGAGCGTCCACTCTAGAGACGTTCAAGATGTTTAGGTAGCCACTTTTTTTTTTCTGGAGCTACCTTTGAAAACAAAGAAAAAACGGAACAAAAAATGTACTGGTTGGAGGGTGGAGAGATGCGGCTTTGCGGGGGAGGCGCTAAAGGTTGGGTAAGAGTTTCATTCTCAAAGTCACCCAATAAACCCTTGGTAGACGTAGGGGCTGGGCTATTCGGGTACTCTGAGGGTCTCCAGAAGCCACAGTATACAGCACCTTACAGGGAACCCTAACCGTGCCTCTGCATGCATTGCAATCACATGGTCCTTGCTCAAGAAATAATTAGCTGGGAGTGTAATGGCAGTCCAGAGAGGGAGAAGAGGCTCTCTACTGTGCCTGGACTTCTGGAAAGTTCCTTTCCAGTCCCACTTTTGCTAGACTGGGAGTGGACTCCAGGGCCACGGAAGCCCAGCGGTCTCCAAAAGAAAATCTAGGGACTAAACATCAGAAGGTGAACTATTCTGTTATTCCTCATTTGTGGTTCTGGGCTCACCGTTGACTGGCTGACTTCATCTCACATTTGGATACCTGGAATTAACATGCCTGCTGCCTCTGCTGTGCCTCCCTTCCTGGACTCCACAGGATTGTGCTGGGAACTGAGAATGAAGCCCCCTTCACCACCTCCCCCACGGTCAAGGCTGGGCTGCTAAGGGAGTGGTCTGTTTTAGAGCTGCTTTGGGGACTTTTCTATTGCCTTTTATTGGAAGGAGAATTGCAAAACCCCTGACTGAGAGTATAGCTGTGGGTTTTTGCCTGAGGTTTAGCCTTGGTCCCTACTGCAACAAAGATTGATAGTGTCTGAGACTGGAAGGCTACTCAGATGAGCCTGCTCCATTTAACAAATAAAGACAACAGAACCCAGGGAGGTGAAATGATTTTAGCCTAAATCTCTGTTGGCCAAATAGAGGCCAGACTTACTTAGTCTAATCCTGGCCTTTTTCAACATGACTTGCCCCTGGCTAGATCCTGACACCCCTTCTTCCCAATTCATTTGTCTTTTCTGACTCAGTTTCCATACAAAGTGCTTGTTTTTCTTTATAGTGGTCATGGTAAGGATCAAAAAAAGCTGACAGTGTGAGAAGTGCTCTATAAACTTAGAAAAGATGTGCAGTGTTGCAAGGCGCCCCTAAGCATTTACTGGATATGTCCCGTGTGTACCACAGGAGATGGTGGACACCAGGAGCCGACAGTGGCAGTTTCTGGCTTGTAATATCTTAGCTCCAGAGTAAACACTGACCTTACCGAACCCACTGCTATCTCAGGGTCACAGTGTTTACACCAGAATGGGCCAAAGGCCATGGACTGAAAGATGACCAGTCTTGGAGGGGGCAGGGGTCTGGCTTCCAGATGGAAAACCTGCCCCATCACTCCCACTCCACTCTCACAACCTTGTACAGGCTCTGGTCTTAAGCTGGGAGGTTGTCACAAGCCATGACTGGCCCTGGCCCTGGAGGGTTAATTGTGAAGATACTCTGTTGTATTGGGGGTGGAGGGGACTATGGCGATAGGAGGTGCCGCCTTTGCAGCTGCACTGAGAGCTGACTTCAGCCATCCCAGGCTGCCCCTCTGGCCCTGGCCATTGCCCTGGCCCACCTCTCTGGCCAGCTGCATGTTCACAGGCCTTTGTTTCAGGGCTATAGCCCGCCCTGCTCATTACCTTCCCTCCCAGCTTTTAGAAGCCCTCAGGCTGGACCTCTGGCAGCTAGACATTACTACGGCCAGCAGAAAGGCACTTCTAGAGTCCCCAGGGGCCCTGGCAAACCTCTTAGGACCTCCAACCCTCTCCTGACCAGACAGATTCCCTCACTGTCTTTTCTCAGCTCTCCCTTCTTCCTACATTCATGTCTCTTAGTTCTATTTTATGTATTAATCATTACACAGTTATTTATTTAGCATATACTGTGTATGAATACTGACCATTGGGGACAAAGTAGTGAAGAAAGTATGGTTTTTAGCAGTCATTGACCTGGTGGAGCTGACTTCTAGTAGGGGAAGCTGACAGGAAACAAGATAGATAATTGAAATAGAGGGCATGTAAGTAATTTGGATGGGGTAGCAAGGAAAGTTTCCCTAATGAAGGGACTCTTGAGCTGACCAGACAGAGAAGATACTTTTTTTTCTTTCTTTCTTTCTTTTTTTTTCGGTCTTATTTTTTCTTTTTGGTCTTTTTGAGATGGGGTCTCCCTGTAGCCCCAGCTGGCCTGGAACTCACTATGTAGACCAGGCTGGCCTCAAACCCACAGAGATCTGTCTACCTCTGCCTCCCAAATGCTGGGATTAAAGGTATGTGCCATCATGCCCTGAGAGATATTTTTCTTGAGTTCTTCAAACCCAGTTCAACATCCCGATGTGGCATTTCGGAGCAGGGTCTGGAGCTGGACAGGCCTGTATTCAAATCTTTGCTTGACAGCGTCCTAGCTTTGCAGCCAATCTTTTGACTTGTAGCTAGACTCCTTTGAGCTTCTGTTTCTCACCTGTAAAGTGGAGTTAGTCATCATGTTCATCACATGTAGCACTATGAGAATGAACAATGAGATAATGTGTCTGCCAGCCATGCTTAGCAAGCCCTGTAGAGTTATGCAATAAATTATTTCTCCGACCAAATTCTGCAGAAGTAGCAGGGTGTATTTCTGCCAATGCTAGGACTCTGGATGAAAAGCTTTTCATTTTACGTGTTGGGTAGGAGCAGGGAATTTGAAGGGAAGGAAAATAGAAAATCTGAGTGAGTCCTTCTACTGGTGAGCCTTTCTATCCTGCCCTAGATTGCTTCTGGTTGAGGATGCAGGACTCCCAGATGTGTGCTGGCCCTTGCCCCTCAGATAGATAGGGTGACTTAGGGCAGGCTTGACCTGCCTTGCTCTGGATTTCCCCCTACTTCTAGCCAGTGGATGAATCACACCTTTGTCCCTGGCCTCTTCACATGGCTTCACAGCTGTGAAGTCTGTCCACGCCTCTTCCGTCTTTGGCTCAGTGTGTAAGTTATGCTGGGGGTGTCAAGAACAAGGGGTCAGGGTAGAAAGGGAAAGGAGTACATGGTGGGTGGTGGCTGTTCCAGGAGAGTCTGCAAAGGTGACAAGAAGGTTCTGATAGAGGCTCTGAGGCACCCTTCAAAGATTTTTGATAAGGGGTCACCAAGAACCAGAATCAGTTAAAATTTTTTTTGTATTATTTATTTGCACATGTTCACACACATGTGTACATGTGTGCATGTCACAGCGTGCGCATGGAGGTTAGAGGACAATTTGTGGGAGCCAGTGTTTTCCTATTCTGTGGGAACTAGGGATCAAACACATGTTGTCAGACTTGGTAGCAAGTGCTTTTACCCACTGAGCCTTCTTGAGGGCCCAGAATTAATTTTTGAGATTAGAGTCTTTCTGTGCTGTCTAGGCTGGCCCCCTTTTCCTGAGCTCAAAAACACCTTCCTGACTCTCAGAATTGCATCTGGCTGGCCTATGGAAATGATAGGCACTGTAAGAGCTCAGGGTCAGGCCTGAGCAGATCCAATCTGTCTCCACCCAACTCATCTGATGAGTCTCTTCCCCTCTCTTCTGGAACCACCAGCCTCCTCTAAGGGGTGTAATCTAAAATGCTGTTGTCAAAGTTTGTGGGCAGCGGTTTCCTGGGGGCCCTGCCCTGGCTCAGGAAGTGAAGGATGGGCTATGGAGGGCCAGGCCCAGGGAAGTGGTCACCAGCCAGACCACTCCCCCATGGCTGCTGCAGGCACGCACTTGCACAGGCAGAGCAGCTAGGCCCTCCTTGTGATGAAGGAACTTTTGGAAACTGTCAGTTGATGTAAACCCAGATATAATCAGGCCTCAGAGGAAGTTGGAAAGGGGGCCCTGCATAGCCCTAACCATGTTTGTGACTTTGGGTGTCCTAAAGTCAGGAGGAAGAACATTGGGCCAACCTGTGATCATCAGGAGGCCAGACTGGAGACACTGGCTGCTTCTTGCATACCAGCTGTCTGGGGACCCAGGCTGCTTTGCTAACCAGATCTGGGTTTTGTTGACTTCTTTTTTTCTTCCCCCTTTGAAATAGGGCCTCACTATGTAGCTCTAGCTGGCCTAGAACTCTTAGGTAAACCATTTTGGTCTCAAGGTTGGAGTGATCTTCCTGCTTCTGCCTCCCCGGTGCTGGGGTTCCAGGTGTGTTACCACACTCAGCCCTCCTGGCTTCTTTTGAATTAGAAGCTCTTTGAGAGAAGGAATGGAGTTCAGTCATCTTCATTCTCATATAGTAAGGGCATGATGGGCTGCTGCTGGGGCTCCATCTGAGAACTTGGGCTTGGTGGTCTCATCTCTTCAGCATTGGGGAGGAAAGCAGGGATGGAGGTTAGACTGGATAGACTGTTGCCAGCTGGGAATGAATGCAAAC